TGTGGTATAACTTGAACCACTGGTAGAAATCTCCTTGGACCTAATTGCGTGTATTGCTAGGGAGATAGTAATTTTGTGACATTCTTTTTTTCTTCTTTAATCTGTAGGGTATGTCTTAATATGGTGATAATTTTAAATCTGAGAAGTTAAAAAGTGTTTGCTGTTCAGCTTAAATTAAAAGTAGCCACAATAATTTCATTTTAGATGGATGTTGGAAAAAAATGCAGACCACTGAACACTTACTCAAAATAAATGCTTTGTCTTAGGAGGAGGAACTGGATCTGGAATGGCTTGGGCTGACAGTTCTCTGTAGTGAGTAATGGTGGCTGAAGTACTTTTGTCTGATCAGTGGTTTCCCTGTTTATCTGCACATGCCCATGTGTTTAGTGTCTGGCATGTAGAGAGACTGTCTGGCTCACTGTATTTTAAGGCCTTTTGCCAATTTCTTTTAATAAAAAGAAAGCAAAAGAGGAAGTAAGGAAAATAGCTGAAACTCTAGATGTGTCAGCTGATTTTGATGCCCAAGCATTGTGGAAATGAAACTCTAAACATCTAGGAATCATAAAATAATTCAGCCTCACTTGTGAGGTTGATCAGAGTTCAAAGGGTTTCAACCAGCTGAGCGTTGACAACCTCCAAGTATGGGAACTGCAAAACTTTTCTGTCTGATCTGTTCCAGTGCTTTACTATCCTCATGCTGAAAATGCTTTTCCTTGTTTCTGGTAGAAATCTGTTCCCATTTAATCATGTTTTCTCATATCTTTCCATAGTGCAGTATGCACTTGGCTTTTGTCCTCTGGGCAGTCTCATTGTAGGTACTGGAAGGCTGCTTGTAGGTTCCACTGATTTTTTTTTTTTTTTTTCTTTTTTTCTTGAGACTAAAACAAGTCCTGTGTCCTGATCCTCTCTTTAAGGGGCAAATCTTCCAGGCCTTTCACCATCTACATGGCTGTCTGCAGAACTTGCTTCAGGTTACCAGTGTCCATGTTGTATCAAGGGACCCAAAACTGGATGCGGTATTCCGTATGCCATATTAGAAGTGCCAGGTGAAGAGGAATAATAATTTTGCTTGATACTACTGACTGCGTTTCTGCTAATGCAGCTCCTTTAGCCCCTTTCACTATTAAGGCATACTGCAGCTCATGCTGTTTGCTTAGTATCTGTAAAAAGACAGTAGTCAATGTTGAGTATTTTAAAAAGGAATAAAGTTAAACTACCCTAATTTTCACCTACAACATGGGAGTTGGGTGGTAATGTCTTATTAACAGCTGTAAAGTTTTGATAGTTTTTTGTGACTTCTTAATAAGATGAGCTGAGATAGTCTAGAGGAAAGAACTTTGGGTGTATGGCTTCTAGTGGAATGAAAAAATCTGTATGTAATCAGTAGCAGTTTGTATTCAAAATGGAATGTGGCATCAAGTGGTTAATTGGGATCTTGGGGGAAATCTCAGAAAGAGGTATCTGTATATGAAGAACACATTTTTAATGCCTGAGGATACTCTAGTTTTGTTTTGCTGTTTCTGAATTTTTAACGGCAATATTCTCACCTGGTGTTTCCAAATACAGTCAAATTGTACTTGCTGTAATAACGGGCTGTTCCTGGGAAAGTCCCAGATGCATTGTGCTGTCTTCAAAACCTTCTTTGCCTTAATAAAGACTCGGTACTGGTTGACATGATGATATGCTATATCTCATTGTCATGCTCACTGTTAGCATTTTGGTCCTTTATGCTTATAGATATATGTTTTGGGTCGTGTCCCGCCCCCCCCCCCCCCCCCCCCATTATTTCTATCAACTAGTTTTCTGCAGAAATAGCGTGTCTGGTTTTTTTTAAGCATATTGTACATAGTCTTTGATCACTCAGAAGCTTCATTGCTTTCTCTGTGTTAATTTTCTGGCGGGGAAATGATGTTTGGCTTGCTATGTATTTCGCCTTCAGTTCTTGAAATCCGGGCTGTTTGTGCAAATGAAAGTATGTAAATTTTGAACCAAACTTAAAAAAGCTTTCCAGGGCAGGCTTCTTGTCAAACTGAGTGCAAAAGTGAACAAAACAATGCCAAGCCGGGTGCTCAGTTCAGAATGCATATACAAGCAACAAAATCTTCTATTTGTAAAAAAACTTACCTTTCTCAATTCAGAAGTAGAGAACTTACAAGAATAAATGGCGTGAATTCAGTATCTAATTATGTTTTTTTTAAACCTTGTCATACTGCATCTTGCAGCCAGGTTCAAAAGTAGCTGAATAAATTTGGTTACAGGGCCTAAAATTTTAATGTTTCCTTTAGTAAAGGAGATGAGAGAATGCTTGCAGTGGTAATAGTGCTTGATCTTTACTGAGTCTTTGAAATGTCTCCTCAAATATGCTGAGGTTGAGCAGTTGACATACCTGAGTGGAGCAGGCTTCTCTGGTTACACCTGTGATAGCTGTGTGTTGTGCAGGTTTCCTCATAGAATCTGAGAGCAAATCAGTATTTAAATAACCACAAGTACTCTTAAATTTGTGGATAGATGAAGAAATTCTTTATTTGCAAAATCAGCATCTTCCAAAGCATTGTTTTCACTTGCGTGATTTATTTCTATGCATGGTTTATCTGTGCATGAATTTTCCTTTATTTAGTTACCTGGTGACTTTGTAGATAGAATCACTAGGAAAAGAATAAGCCTGTGAAGACACAAAAAGTGACTGTCAAATGTAACCCAAAAGAATTTGTAGATACTGCAAGTCAAGAAAAAACCTTCCCTTTGTTTCTCACATGAGAATTGCTCTTTGTTTTTCAATGTTAATGCTACAACTAGTGGTGAGTGGAAATGCTCTTCTTCCTTCTGGCCAAATGGCATAAAATAGTTGTTGCTGATTGTTACTGAGATCACTTGGAGGTGACTGGACATAAAGATTTATTTTCAGTAAATGCAAATGACATGAGCAAATGGCAATGCTTCTTACAAGTTCAGGAGAATAATAGTGGTTTGAATGGCTGACAATACTATGTGTGAATGCCTTACTCTTCAGTGCATTAAAAATGGGGAATTTCAAGATTTTGATTCAAGTTTTGGTGTGCACTTTGACATCTTCCTGTTGCTCCCCACAATATTATTTAAAGACTGTTTTAACTTATTTTATTAAACTGCTTAATACCAGTAGTTTTAGTTCTGGTTTCCTTACCTAGTTCTTGTTTGAAAAAACACCCCTGTTTATTCTGAGGTCCAAATTGTATCATGTGCTTGACTGGTCAAGGAGTTTCAAAACTTGCCTTCAAGAAGCTGTATTACAATGCCTGTTTGTATCTTGGTCAGTCTGTTTTGAATATTTACTTCTTCTGTGTGTAGTATTTCTAATGAAAAGTCTGCAAAAACTGCTTTTGAGCTAGAAATACTTTTTTACAGACAGTGCTCTCTGAGTGCTTATCCATCTGTGTATTACACTCATGAAAATGTGTACTGGTGTTTGCTACAGAATTTTTTGTTCTACCACTATGGTGTGTGTGATTCTTCCCCCCTTCCCCCCCCCCACCCCTCCGTGTGGACATTCTATTGTTTGTGCTTACCTAAATATGGGGCTTGAGAGAACTGTGCAGACACACCAGAATGGCTTTTAATCCGTAACAGTGGTGCAGTGGTAGGTAAAGGGCTGTAATGTCGGTTGGCTGGATGTGTTACTCTGGTGCAATGGATGTGCTATTGTCAAGCATGCTTGTTATGAGGTGACTTTTGCTGTATCTTCTGCTCTGAAGTGCTTAGCAGTCATGATGAGCAGTCAGATCCACAAATCCTCAGCAAAGAAATGCCTGTTCCCCACTTCTCTGGGTAGTTTTCTTTCCCCATCATATAGTCTTCATCAGCAACCTGAGAGAAGTTTTGTGCTTTTTACAAGATTGACAGGCCTCAGTGTCTTGTCAAAAGAATGGTGGGAGGGGAAGAAATGGCATGGTGATGATCCTTAGTTCTCAAAGACTGCCAAAGAAGGCAAGAGAATAAAAAACTGAGGGGGAAAAAAAGAGAGTGACCCTGAATGTAAGCTGGTTGTAGCCAAGATTAGTCTGCAAAAGCTTACTTTTGAACCAAGGTGGCTGAGAGAGATTTGGGTGATGAGAAAGTATCATTGATCTTTGCCTTTCATGGGCAGAGCATGAGGGACGAGTAAAGTTTGTGTCTGCTATTGGGGTTCCTAAAGCAAAGACTGTGCAAGAAACAGATGTGGACTGACTACATGCCTTGGACTAGTCACTGGAGGTGTTTCTGAGCAAGATGCTGGACATGTGCCAAGTCACTTAAAAATGTGTTTCCTCATTTTTTGTACCTTTTTGGATATTTGCATTTCATTAATTTTTCTGATCTTTGCAGTCTTTCCAAGAAAAGACTTGAGAAATGCAAGGACAGTTTGTATGTGGGGTGCTGTGTGTGCTGTGAGAGTAATTTCCCCCTCATCCCCGTCCTGTCCCTGTCCCCCCCCATTTCTGACAAAGAAGAAATCCTCATCAGCTTAACTGGTGCTTTTCTGCTTTCTGAAGTCAGTATTGAGCCTTATGTCAGAGTTGAGCCTTATCAATCTGAAAGATGCATATTTTTTCTGGTGATGCTCTGTAGCAGTGAAAACTTCACCTAGGTGTTCATAGTAGAAATTCTTCACAGACTTCATAGACAGTGTGAAAATGAAAACTATCTCTGGATTGACTTGGACACACAAGGTAAAAACCCTGGTCTTGGTGGCTGAATGGTATAAAATTTCCCTTGAAATTCCATTCGAGGTGAATAGGGTTGTCTTTCTAGCATGCAGTCAAGCTTTTCTTCTTTAATGGTTTGGGTTTTTTTTGATGTGTGGTTTGTTTTGAGAGTTATTTTGTTTTTGTTTTTTTTTTTAAGTCTGAAAAGTAATTTGTAATATTATCTTCTTCTTTGTGCTGTAAAAGTACTACCTGCCTGCAAAATAAAATGTTTAATTTTAGGAAGAATAGTTTTCTTGTTTGATAAAGTTTCTGGTGTCCTCCACCGTCCCACCCCTGCATTGTACATATGGCCAAGTCAAGGAATCGAGTGGGGAATAGTGCTAATACTCTAGATATATACTTAGTTTATTCTGAGTTTGCTGATAAGAAATATAATCAGTTTGGGTAGTTGTACGTCTTGGGCTAGAAGCAAAATGCTGCAGGTGAGATCTAATAGTTTGAAATTATTTATTGAGTTTTTTCAATATACTTCATTGTGTTTGCAGCAAAGATATTAGTGGGAGACATAGCAGGGCAAGGTAGCAGAAACTGAGTTAACTAGTTGCTTTAAATGCCACTTGTGGGAAATTAATGTAATAAGGTTCTTACTAATGTATGAAACTGTCAATTTAGTGTTTCATGGTATGTAGCAGGTTTTATTGTGCCCAGGTGTTTGAGTTTTCCCAGCTGTGCTTATTAGACTGAGAAGACAATGCCTGTGCATACAAACTTTGCCTTGTCACTGCATTACAGTCTTACAAAAGAAAATGAAATTCTAGGTTAATTCAGGGCTCAAAATAGCGTTTCTCTTGCAATATGCATTACTGTTTCCTTGCCACTTTCTTCTCTCCCTCTTCTACATGGAATATTCCATTCATTACTGCCTAAGAAATCAGTTATTTTGCAGTCTGCAAATGCTGAAATGACGTTAGGGGAGAAATACTTGCTTGCAACCAAAACTATTTTTGAACAGACATTTCATTTTAGAAATTGTAACCGGCTAAGAAAAGCTGAATTGAGGGTGTGTTTTTTTTTTTTTTTTGGCTGTAAAATAATTTTGTATTGCATTGCATCAAATGATTCCCTGTGATGCTCATGTATTAGGTAATCCTGAAAGAGGAGTATATGAAATAGAATATGAGGAGGTACTTAACTGGTATGGAATAGGATTTGACATCTTTTATAGGATATTTTCAAGGGTAAATTTAAGTTTTTCAGCTGTAGATAATCAAAATAGGCTAAGAATCTTTCATGAAACTTACAGCATTTGTATTTGAGCCTGCTGCTTTTTCTCCACGGTGTTTCTACCTCTGAATGAATTCGAAGGGAACCCTGACATGCATTCTACTGTTTTGACTATTAAATAAGCGTGCTCTTTCTCCTTCTGTTGAGATGGTGTTTAGCTGTGATTGAACATAAACCTTTTAAATGTTTGGAAAGAGACCTGCTATGCTGAAACGATGGATTGCTTATGCATTGTAACAACAAAGGTAAGATGATACAGCTTTTGATTAAAGCCTACAGTCTGGGAAGTTCCTGTTGAATCATTTGTCCAGTTTTTGTCTACCTGTAATGAAAACATCTTGAAGGTTTTTTTTAGCGTAGATTTTTTTTTTTTTTTTTTTTTACTTCACCTGCACGGACTGCCAAAATTGATCTTTAGTTGTTGCTAAGAAAAGTAATAGATGTTAATTCTTGTAACAGCTAATTATGCACATGTTAAAAACTAAAGTGTAGTAGAATGATTTTTTTGTTTGGTTGTTGATTTTTTTTTTTGTTTGTGTGTTTTGTTGTCATTCTGCAGTAAGGCTTTCTTCTATAAAAATTCACTCTCTATATGGGCTAGAATAGTAGCTTGCTTCTTATTACAGAGTAAGGAATTCCAAATGCTGTTCTACATCTTCTTTATCAAGAAATGTTTAAAAATAATTATCAAAGAAAAGAAGATTAATCTGGGTAGTCCTGTTACAGATGGATATATTTCAAGATGCTTTATTTTGACATCTTGTGATTGAAATAAAAGACACCCAGACATCTTAGTGTCATTACTTTGTGCTAGGATGAAGTTTTAGCACATTACATGTGCTAGGATGATTGTTTTTAACACAGTCCACTTGTAACTGCTAAAGATAATATGATGCAGGAATAGTATTAATAGTGTGTTGTCTGGCTTTTTTGGAATTTTTTATTTTCCTGCAGGTGGTAAACTGTTGTTCTGTATCACTCTATTTTTCTGGATGATTAAATAGCTGCAGGTTTAATGTTTAACAAGCTACTTTGACTTCTGACATTCTTCAGATAATATGAAATCATAGAACTTATACAAATGTCCTCAAGAAGTAATAAAATTGAACATCTTTATAATATGTAGGTTCAGTGGTAGCTTGTATAAGAGAAAAGGTCAAGAGGTTTGACACAAGGAAGCACAGGCTGATTGGAATGAAATTACCTTGTCTATCACCAGCAAAAGAGACTTTCTGGTGTCTGAACTGTTAAGGTTTTATTTGGAAGTGAAACATACCCTTTGAAAATCATGCTTGATTAATAACATTCATTTGGGTTATTTCTGCTTTATTTCTTTTAGAATAGTCTCTTTGTACAGTGAGATTAGGATTGGATATCAGTTTGGTTATATCAGCATGTACCTTAGTTTTGTTGTGTTTGTTTTAAAAACCAAATGGGCAGTGCTGTCATTTTTGCAGTTAACTGCTCAACTTTAGTTTTATGTTGTGCATTTGTTTAAGATAATAAAGATAACTTGTATGGAAAGTTAAGCCAACAGAAAATGTGTTCTGGAAAAAAACAACTGTGTTTTGGTATGATTAGCCCAGCTCTATGCTTGCTAACCAAGTAAGACTACTCATAGAAACGCTGCATGGGAGAGAAAGATCATCCTCTCTGCACAGCATAGTCTTACATGGGCTTAGACTGATCATGCCTTTCCACCTGAAGTTATCAGCACTTAATTCTTCCTGACTCCTTCATGTGAAATTTTGGCCTCATTTAACTGAATACTGCTGTAGTAGCTTGATGCTTCAGCTAAAGTTTTTTATTTAAAGTGGGACTTGTAAAAGAACTGTTTACTTGCCTGGGAACATGTGTGCATTTGATGACTTGAAAGTTGTAGTCTAATGCAAAATACATTCCTTGGTTATTTGTCCTCAAAAAAAGGAAAATAAATGCATGTAAGGCAGGCAGTTTTGAAATCAGCATTAAAGAAATTTATTATAGGATTAGTAATAGTGTTAAATGCTTCCCCTTTCTCTACCTTGAGTGGAGAAGTATTTGAAATAACTCATTGCTAATCTTTATTTCTGACTAGGGAAGTGAAGAATTTGGTCAGTGAGATGAATTTCCTAATTAACTTGAAGTCTTTTATAATTTGATTTTTGATAATTCTGTTTTGCTTAATTCAGTATTAAGATCTAGTTGTGATGGGTGAACAGTTTCTTAGACCACTTTTTGTTCTGTCTTGTAAGGTCTAATTGGTTTACTTTGTCCTAATCTAGTACAAAGAATACTGATTAATATTTTTTTTTTCTCCTTATGTGGGCACATTTGGTTTGATGTAGGTAGACAAATTTGCATCACTGCAACCATGGATACTATTAAGAGCAGGCACGTGGGCTGAGCTTACAGTAATGATTTTTATTTAAGTAACAGTTTTAAATGAGTTCATGGTACTTAAAAGTACAAAATATGAAGATTTTGTACAGAAAAAGAATTTTTTGAGCATTCGTAGCTTGTTTGTTCAGCACTGTACTTCAGTACAACACTTGAATTTAAAGCGATGTAAACTGTCTTTGATTAGTATTCCTAGCAAGACTAGTGCAGAAGAATTATTTGTTTGTACAATTTTAATTTTGAAATACGAAGAAGCATGCTGCTTGGACTGCACCACAGCAGCATCAGTCTAGTCCAGTACTTTGTTTCTGAGAGTAGTCAAAACATGGTGTCTTGGGAGAGGGGAAGCATGTATGATGCATAAGCCTCTTACCAAGGGAGAAAAATGAAGGGTCACCAAGGTGTTAAAACTTATATCATGAGTTCTGGGTGAGCAGTGATGTGGCTGTGCAGGGTGGGAGGCTGCATGGTGCCTGCACAGCTACAGCCAGGGTGGCTAAGTTGGAAAGATGGCAGTGAGTGTATGTGATTCCTGCAGGTTTCCTCACTTAGTTGTGCAGTGTATTGTAATTCAGAGTCCCATTGTTATTACTGTGAGTTCCAGGAATTTCCCTCAAGTGAAATCTGCTGCCCTACCTACTAGTTGCAAGTGAAAAGGTAATGACAGGATCTCTTGCACAGGGAAGTGATCTAGTCCAACTACCTGCTTAAAACAGGGTCAGCATCACCTTCAGACCAGGTTACATAGGGCTTTGATTATGTTTTGTAGCCCTCACCTTCTCTCAATTTAAGGTTGTCTTTTCTCCTGCTGTGCATAGCAAGGGCCACGCTTTCTCTTGGTAACCTTCTCTTGCGCTGTTACTAGATTCTTGCAAAGCCTTAATTTCTCCAGGTTGAGTAAGCCCAGTTCCCAGTTCTCAATTGTGCTTCAGCCACTTGGCAATCTTAGTGTCTCTCCACTGTACTTATTACTGTATTCCAGCTACGATCTACCAAGTGTTTGAAAAAGCATAAAGAGAGGCTACAATGCAAGTTTTAACATTCTGAGCTACTGCGTACATAAAAGCTAAAAACTGATGTTGGTAGGAAATAAAATATGATAGAGGCAATTGTGTGCAAATGGAAACTATTAAAATCCAAGCTTTTACATATAAACTTGATGCAGAAATTACTTGGTGGGCCCAAAGGAGGATGCTTTCTCAAAGTGGAGGAACAAAATAGAGAATTTTGTGAATTTAAAATTGTAGATGGATGGAAATGCAGTTATATGGGAAATTCTTACACTAAAAGCTTAAGAAATACCTTGAGTGCTAAATAGCCCTCAACAGCCTTTCTAAGTTGGCACATGTAAATGATGTGTCATGATGGGTTTTGGCAAGGAACTTCATTTTGCCAACATCCCATGTCCTCATGAAAAAGCGATTTGCTTTCCAAACATATTTCATTGGATTGTGTATAAATAATAGTTATCTGGTGAGCCAATTGAGTGGTGCTAATAATATACCACTTGGCTTTGATGTGCCATCTGGTTGTAACACTGAGGAAATGTGTGCAGAATTAGCCATCAAAAGAGCTTTGGGAAGTGAAAAGAATCGTGCATCACTAATGCTGGCAGTGTCAGCAGATAGTATGAAATCACTCTTGCATGTAATCTTGAAGTATGCAATGCCAAGAAAACAGCTGCCTACTAGATAGTTGGTAAGTATGAAAATCAAGGATGGCAGTCTCCAGACTAAAGGATTGGCTAACTTTGATTTAGAATAGGAGATGAAGTATGTGAGTAATGTGTGCCATAGATGGGTTTAAAAGGTATTTGACAAAAAAAGGAAGAATACAGTCAGAGACTACTGATCTTGTGGTCATGCCAGGAGGAATGATACTCAAACTGCGTGTGTTTATGGTCATGAATAAGCTTTTAAAAAGTTAGAAGCTTTAATACACAAAATGGACTTTGGCAGGGGGTCATGATTCTAACCCCTACATGTCAAATAAAAAAGCCCAATGCAGCACAAAATGGCAGGAGATTAGTTAAATCCAGAGGTCGAAGCTAAAGAACTTAAGAAATACTTCGCTTCTGTTTCCATGGGCGGTACTGAAGGTGGCTTGTCTGAGTTTTGAAGATGAATGGATTTGAGGGTGTTGAGGACACCAAGAGTGATGAAGTTGAAGGTGGCAGAGGCTAACAGTAGTAGAAATGATAAAAGGAACCTGATATGCAAAATCTGAAAAGCTGTACTAAGAAGGCACGAGAAAATAGATGTAAGGCAAATAATTAATAAAAGTTTGTTCTTGCTCTGTATCAATTAAAAGGATATAATAAGCTTCCTGCATTTGAGTTCTTTTTAAGGGTATTTTCTTAAATTCAGAATTCTCGTTCACTTTGTATGTTATTTGGTGTTCTCCCAGCCACAAAGAGTTCAGGATTCAAGGGCTTTCTGGGCAAGAGGCAGTTGCTGTATAGTAATCCTGTCTCTTACGTGATTGTCTGGTCTTACCAAATTGCGCATAAAATACAAACCAAAAGTATAAATCTGTGGCATGTGCTTTGTATACAGAACATCTCCAGAGGTAATCTTTGTTTACATGTGTTTGCTTCTAAGTGACTGCAAGTATACAGGGTCATTTCATTGATAAACCAAAAATTATTAGAATTGTATAGTTTTTCAGGCAGGCACATCAGTGGAGTTTGTATTTTTTTTGAGTTTGTGTGCTCAAAGAAACCGGATGCCACATACCTGAGGCGTTTGCATGAGACTGATCAATCTTACATGAAGCTCTTGAGTTGTGTTTAAGTTACTGCTTATCTTCCCTCCTGTTTTAAAAGAAAAGCTGCTAATTAATACTAGAGAGAAGTGACAACTGGGTT